CCCCAACTTTTTTTTTTTTTTTTTGGGTTGCTTTTGCTAGAAGAGAAGAGACACACTTGCTAGATTTAGTTCATTGAATATTCAAGATTTAGGTGTCACGTGACTTCCCGGTTCTAGATCACTTTAACAAGGTTGTGCCTCCCTTATCTTCTCCCTCTCGATCACATGCTCCCCAGTACCTAATTTTGTTATTCACTCTTTTTGGCTTTAGCCTTTATGAATTTTTTTAAAAAAAACCGCAAGGAGATTATATTCATAATTTACGCCACAAGGACAATACAAATTCATTAGCCATAAAAGGTCAGTACAACGACCCACAAAGGGATTACAACTAAAATAGAGGGATTTATTGACAACATCAAACTCATACAATATACCTCCACTCAAAGCCACAAATTGATTTTACCGTTTTTCAATTTTTTTTACCCTCAGAGGTAAGCCACAGAAAGATGCTCAAATTCATGGCCTGCAATCACATGTGGAATATATGTGTGATGCGTGTGTTTATTCCCTAGCTTCATGCATAGCACATTGGCTAACATGTTGTCGTATAAGTTTTGGATAAGATTTACTTAATCAATAATTAGGGGATTGCCAAACCCCTTAATTAAGTTGGAAACCCTGCCAATCATTATAAGCTCATTGGCTCTTGGCAACGTGGCCTGCTTATTTCTTTCGTTCTTATATTAGCTTCTTCCCATGTGGCATCTGAAATATATATTTCCATGCATGTGCTTGCCCAAAAATAAACTCCAATAATTCAACTGCCATATATTTAGATTTTGGATACTATTGATTGTTTTCAGTTTTATTTTTTGTACATTCCAATGGTGCTTATTATTTTTTAATAAAATATCTATCCCAACAAAGAAAAACCTTAAATTTTTTATTTTTATTTTATATTAATAAATGTATACTATGTTAGTTCGTCAAAATAATGTGTTCTTTTGCACTCGGGTTCAACTAAATTATACATGTAGCAGTCTAAAACCCTAAATTTCAAAGCTGCTATTATTAGTAGATGCGATTTGGTCAGAATAATGTATTTGTCCTTTTACACTTGGGTTTGATTTTACCCCGTATTAAAAACCAGTAAAAAGAAAAATGAAGTTGGCCCATTGGTTTGCACACTGGGTGGTTATTTTCCCCGCGTAAAAATTAATAAATAAAAATTTACTGAAATGTTGAGTCTTCCTCTACCAAGTCCACTCAGCACTCCTCCCTCTCAAACATTTAAAACCCCCACAAAGACCAGTCCAACTGACACACCCATCACTCCTCCAAACTCTGCCGCCAAATCACTCTCCACACCCCCACCACCGCCTCAACCCAATTCCAATGCCAACAAACAACCCTACCTCCTCATCCCTCAATTAAAATCAACCCTTCAACTTCATTGCAGCATATCATCAACCACCTAACCACACAAACAATGGCGTCTTCTCTCTCAAGAAGATTCTCACTCGGCAGCCCGCCCCAACCAGCCGCCACGTCGTCTTCCCCGGATCTGAAGCAGCGAGTCATAACCTGCCTCAACAAGCTCGCGGACCGTGACACTCTGGCCATGGCCACCGCCGAGCTCGACGCCATTGCCAGAAACCTCTCCCACGACTCCTTCGCTACCTTCCTCATCTGCATTCACAACACCGACTCTTCCTCCAAGCCACCCGTCCGCAAGCACTGCGTTTCTCTCCTCGCTCTACTGTCCAACTCCCACGGAGACGTTCTGGCTCCCTTTTTGTCCAAGATGATCTCTACCGTTCAGCGCCGCCTCCGCGACCCCGACTCCGCCGTCCGATCCGCTTGCGTCGACGCCGTCGCCGCGATGTCGTCTCAGATCACGACTCCGTCGTTTTCTTCGGCGTTTTTAAAGCCATTGATGGACACGCTGGCGATGGAGCAGGACTCTAATTCTCAGATCGGCTCCGCGCTGTGCCTGGCCGCCGCGATCGACGCCGCGCCCGACCCTGACCCGGCGCAGCTGAAGAGGAGCTTGGCGCGGCTGGGGGAGCTGGCGAAGAGCGAGAGTTTCAAGGCGAAGGCAGCGCTTCTGGTGCTTGTTGGGAGCATTGTCGGCGCCGGCGGCGCGTCGAACCGCGGCGTGTTGGACTGGCTTGTGCCGTGCGTAGTTGAGTTTTTGAGTAGTGAGGACTGGGCCGTGAGGAAGGCCGCGGCTGAGGCGCTTGGGAAGGTGGCCTCGGTGGAGAGAGATTTGACGGCGATGTATAAAGCTTCGTGTTTGAATGTCCTGGAAAGTCGGAGATTTGATAAGGTATATTGTCTTCCCTCCTCCCCAATCGGTTGTTTGGTTGCTGAGAAAGGGTAGGAGAAGAGGAGAAAATATTGTGACTTCAATCATTTCGGTAATTGTTTTTCTTTTTCGAATTTACTTTTTTCCTGATTTTTACTAATTTCATTCTTTAACAGGTGAAGGTAGTCCGGGAGACTATGAACCATACATTGGAGTTGTGGAAGGTTCTTATTGCAGGAGATTCCGAAGAGAATTCTGCTCCAATTCAATCCAGATCTTCAACTGGTAAGGCATTTTCTTTGTTTGAGAAACATCAAGTTATAAACGACAGAGATGCCTGCAAGTTCATTACTTGTTCATAAAATTGGTCAAACAGTTTTATCACATGAGAAAGCAAACAAAAGAGAAAATGTGATTTGTTTCCAATGAATCTGAATTCTAAAGCTGTTGTTTTAGTCATGAAATTATTTCCGTATGGTGTTAATTTGCCCAATTTCAGTAAGTCCTGTTGTGCTCTTCATTCTGCTATTACCTTTGAAGTTAAACACCTTTTGAACCTGTCTAATGTCATCTAATCTTCTGTCTGCCTCTCTTCTGTTTTCTTTTGGACTTTTTCCCATGGGGCCAGATAATGGGTTTGGTCGATGCTTTCCTCCCATTTCCAAAAGTTCCGATGATTCCAGTTTTAGGACTCCTCAACCAAAGAAAACAGTCCCCACCACAAACAGGTCCCCTCCATCCGATGGTTCTTTGGTGACCACAGCTAAAAAAGGAAACGAGAGAAAATCAGAAACATCCTTGTTCTCTAAGCAGGACCACAAGAAACCCTCTGATTGGAAAATAGAAATCGCAATGCCCAACTCTCCCTCTTCAAAGCTGGCCCATATGGATGATATTCTAAGGAGTGACTCTGGAGATCCGGAAGCAGGAAAGAATGAGCACATTGGAAATAACATGCCAGAAACTAAACGCGTTCTCTTCAGTAAGATCCATGATGAAAAAGTACACAAATTTGGTGGTTTAAAATCTGGGTCTCGTGTGGTTCCATTTAATGAGGATGAGAACTTTGACTCAGATGTTGTAGTCAGCAATGCTGCAGAAGAAGTTTATGAGAGCCAAAAGGATGCTGAAGATCTCAATTTGATCCGTGAACAACTTATTCAGATTGAAAACCAGCAGTCCAGTCTATTAAACCTTCTCCAGGTATGTTCCTGATACTTGTTTACCTTTTCTCTTAACCAGAACTGTTAGTTGCACCAGAGGATTTTAGCACAACCTGAGGCATTATAAGTATTTTTCTTTTATTTTTTTGTTCAACTTTATTTTAAGGTGGTATTATTATTGTTAATTGAAGTTAGTCTGCTTTGATTTACATACTTGAGGCTCTCATAGCTCATTGTTGCTGCTCTCCGCAAAGTTAAAAACTTGATAATGGGAATGAGATAAAACATGCCTACAGGCGTTGTTAGTTGGTCTTAAGATTTTATGTCTTTGGATGAAAGTTAGTCTTACCATTTTTCTCTTAGTCTCTGCTTGCTGGATTTATTAGTCAATTTTGCCATTTCAAAGTTTTATTCTTAAAAATCATATCCTGTTACCTACTTAAAGGCTTCAGGAGAATATTTCATTATTCATAGTGATGCACAATTCTTAGAAAGCTTCTGGTCTGCTGACCTAATCCCCTGTTAAAAATGTGTACAGAGATTTATTGGGAGCTCTCAGAGTGGGTTGAACTCTCTTGAGACACGTGTGCATGGCCTTGAGATGGCACTGGATGAAATATCATACGATTTGGCCATAACAAGTGGAAGGATTCCAAACACTGAATCTGCAGATAACACATGCTGCAAGCTGCCTGGTGCAGAATTCTTGAGTTCCAAGTTCTGGCGTAGAACTGATGGGCGGTGTTCTACTGCAAGGCTCTCTTCTGGAACCATGCCCTCACTCAATGCTATTCCTAACATACCTAATAGAGATAACAGTGCTGAATCATGTGCGTTTGACAGTGAAAGATTTCAGCACCAAAGTAGGGGTGCATTTACCGTTAACTCAGTGGCAGAAATTCATGATGCCCAAAGGTTGAATACAAGGCACTATCCAGACAAAACACCAAAGACCATAGTCCGAGATGCTGAGAGGGTTCAAGCTTGCAATGCCAGTCGGCTTGGGATTTCACCAATTACGTCTATAGCATCAAGGAACCCGAGTAGAAGGTAAGGATAACTGATATCAGAACTTAGCAATGTATTTTATACTGCTAATTCTGTTGCTTCATTAAATTTCTTGTCTGCCTATTAACACATTGCTGGATTCACTATTTGTTGCATTTATACGTAGCTGTAGTTTTACTCAAAATAATTCCTATGCGGAATTTCTTAGTGGATCTTCTGCAACAATGTAGTGATAATATTTTTGCATTGAAATTATAATTGTTGGCACAAGATCACCACTGTTAATAGAATTTTGTGAAGCAGATTAAATATCTCTTTAGCTATCACAGTTTCACTGCTTTCGTGACATTTTCCTGATTGGCTCTGAAATTAGAACATTTTCTGTTAACAAAACACCCAGTGCCAAGACATTGTGAAGTTTTCAGTTGTGGGGTTGTCGAGTATGTATGCAAAACATTAACAATCTTATTAGGATTTTAAACCCTGCAACTATTTGAGTGCAATATTTTTTTGTTTCCGTTATATTAAGGTTGCCGTTCCACAGAAATTGGTTAGTGGAGCTGTCATCATATCATATACAACGCAGCTTCTCACTGAAGTTCTCATTTCAATGATCTTGAGTAGTTGAATCGTAAATCAACTTCCCACTATGTTGGAAACTCTGATTGCTTGATTTGTGCTTTTCTGTGTTTTCTTTTCCATGATCATTTTCTCCCTATAGCATATAATTCTGTACTTTGCACGCTATCCTCAATGATATGATTTTAAAGCAACTCTGTGTTTTTGTTTCTCAGATCATCCGCCTAAGATAGAAGAATCATAGAATTGTTTGAAGTGGAAAATGTTTGATGATTGATGGATCAATTTCTCAGTAGAGAGAGACAAGCATCATGGGGGCATGGAAAGACCTGAAGACATTAAATTGAATGCCGATCAAGTGTTTATATATGTAGGTGCGCATAATTTATGAAATTTCTAATTCAATGTGGCATATTGATGCACAGGACAGGGGAAGCAAAGGGGGCTCCATTTATAATTACATGTGCCCTCCTCTTCCTCCTAAAAGCAGCTTTCGGATTTAATTGCAATAGACCAGAGTAGAGTCTTTGTAGCATGTGTTATATTTATTACTTACCTGCACCAAGCCGGTAAAGGGAGGGAAACTAAATCTGTACAAACTCATCTTTTCTTGGATTGTTGTTACCTTACTTGCTGTATATATGATGAGATCAGTAAATGAGTTTTCATATTTCTGCGAATATAAACGCGTCCGTAGACTGTCTGGTTCATACAATACACCTATTAGAACGTGGGCTGCTATATTAAAAAATAAGCTTGCCACACCGGCATGGTGGTTTTTCAGCAACAATTTGTTTGTAGCAAGTGACAACTGTGTGTAACTTATGTCGGAGTACAGCTGGCTTTAGCTTCAAGCGATCCCAAGTGCCATCACCACCTAAATAATTCCATAACTAAACCCCTTAACCTTGAACTTAGTTTAAAAGTCTATAACCATAACAATTCATGGCTTTCAACGTTAATCTAATTTCCCGCCCATTCCACCACTAAACAAGAAAAAGCATTTCGGCTTAAAAACAACGCAAACTGTTAAAATCCAAACAAAGCCCATGCATGATTAAACATATGCTCTCACCTTGGAAATGGCCCGAATGGGCACCAGGTTGGGCCGGACGGAAAACAAACTCTCAAACTGATGTTCTTGGGCTCCCTTTTTCTACAAGCCGGAGCCAGTTATGCAAATGCAAGTTTAAAAAAATAAAAAATAGAATGGACAGTCTAAATTACTCTAAAAAATTACTTTAATCTATGAAAGGAGGATTGAACTCGAGTGCAAAGTAGTGCCATTGGCTGGCAGAGCCGCTTTAAGGCTAAGGGTAGCCTTGGACCCCCCAATTTTCTAAATTCCTATCTATATTTACACATTGTTTTGGATAAATAGTAAGTGGATAAAAAAGGGAAAATGATTTAGCTTTAATATGTAAGTTTTGAATACATGTGTATTTTTCAAACTAATATTTACAATTCTAACTTCGCCTCTGCACATTGCTTGCCAATTAGCCTAACTTTATCTGCATGCAAATGCAAAAGTTATAAAGTAGGCTAATGTGCACCCCGCCCAACCAAGGGTATTATGGAAAACTTGGAATTTTGTTCGGATGCTGCACTTTGTCAAATGTTTGAGTGCATTTAGAACCCTTTTTATCTTTAGGTCAGAAAATGACAAATGACCTAATTCTCGGGGACAACAAGTTTGGGCTCTGGAGAAGGCAAGCAGGATAGAAACTTGGCCATTTTTGACCTGCAACTTGGAAAGGTTCCATTTGGGGCTGGACCATGCCAGACAGGCTTATCAGTTTACATTATTCCCTTGTCCTCCTAACTTATAATAATGTACAAATATTCTAATCTTTTGATATTAATTTAAGAACTAGTGGACCGAATTTGAAATATAATTTCCCCTTCAACTGGACTTATGCAGTACGGCAGTGGTATATGCTATATGGTGTACCTAAACAATATGCTCAAACGCCAAATGTATTCATCTCTGTCATTACAGTCTTTCCCATAAATTTATTATACGAGAAAAATACTCACATTTTCCGTCGTTTTCTAAACTGTCCAAGTCTGTCAAGCACCCCAAGCATTTTCCTAATTCGATAATTAAATTTTAAAACTATAGAATTTGACCCCATGCTCTTCAATATTCAGTGTATCTTAAAAAAAAAAAAAAATACAAGCTATATTCAAGGGATTTCTCACACACACTATTAAGGTGTTATTGGGATTCAAACCTGACCACTGATCTGCAAGTCAATGCTCTTTTCCACTAGGTTAGGCCCGTTCAATGTATCGAAAGGGGTTGCCTTTTTCTACCTCTTGATTCTTATTTCTTAAATGCTAATCATAATTCGAAAGAAGAAATAGAGAAAGTTGAGAATATGGAGTTGCATCTTGAATAATATTAATATCCCTTTGAATTATCATAAATTTCAACAAGGCATATGTCATCTTTTACTTTATAAATGCTTTTATTCACTGGCCTCTCTGATTACCATGTTGAATTAGACGACAAACCCTTCAAAATCAAGCTTTAAATGGACGAACCATATTTTTATTGCCCAAATTCAAAGCTACGCCAACATTATTCTTTTTATTTATTTATATATATATATATCAGTTATTCTTTTCTTGTCAACTTCTTTCGGGCAAGAAAACATGCACCCAATAACGCATTTTCCAGTCACTGTCCGTTGCTCTGCTAATTACTATGAGTGCTTGTGCTTCAAGGCTCTTCAATTACCAAAGGTTTTCCTTTTCTTTTATTTTCTTAGAAAAAAAAAAGAAAAAAGAAAACCATTGGCAATTGCTGCGTTGACTCATTCATTTTGCAGAGAATATATATCTTTCCGATTATGCAAGAAATGAATCACAATGATAGAGAGAAAGGTGGTTCGCATTACCGTGGGAAGCACATGTTGAAACCTGGGAAATTATGCGCCTTAATTCGTGCTTCACACGGTCTCCTTATAAGTCCTAAAACCCAACCTTTTGCCAGCTAATAGCTAATAGGCCCCCCTTCTTGACCGAAAAAACAAAACGAGAAAAAAGACTCCTTGCTCCTTATCCATCTTGGTGTTGATAACTTTGTGATTATATGTTACAACATTTGATATTTATAATGTCTTTACAAACTGATGAGCACTTAATTATTACATTTTTATCCATAAATTATATTTGTTAATTATTACATCTTTAGAAAAAAATAAGCACATTTCCCAGATTCTGAGCCACCTAAACGTAAAAATGCATACATAAATTTAAAAATCACATGTTTCTTTCCAGATTCTGAGCCACTTGAGGCATCATGCTAATTGCCTCTATTTTCTCTTATTTGTAGAATCTGCAATAGCTCTGCATGATCATTGTTTCTCTTCCACAGTGCTTCTACATGCTGGTTGGCACAGTAGAGCCGCCTTTGCAAATCCGCCACCTGAGCCTTCAAGGAGGCTACTTCCTCGGTCAGAGCTCCACACTCTCGCGTCCTTGCCAGTAATCTTATGCCCAAATTTGTAGCGGAGACTGCTTGGAGAACAGTTAAATCATGAGACTCCTCCACCGCGGCCTTGTCTGACCTCTGTGCCACGTGCAGATGATCTGCCGGTGTGAGTCTACTAACAGTTATGCCTCCTGGCAGCACTACTCTTTTTGGCATTGCCTCAGCAAAGTTTGAGGCTGAGCCATGATGAAAGGAGGAGTTTGGGAAGATAGGGTTTGGAGGAGCGCCTACCTGAACATTCGGTGGTGCAAGTGATAACTCAATGTTGAGATCATCAATGAGCTTAGATGAGGATGCCATTGTTTTGTTTCTGGATTTTTTTTTTATGGTTTTCCTTGAGTTTTCAAGAAGAAATGAGGGGTAATCCTACACTTCACTGATGAATGGTTTAAATAGACATCTACTAATGAGTGAGCCGACATCCATTTCGGATCCCCAGATTGCTATCCAACCGTTTGCCCTCTTTTTTTCCTCGGATCCCTTCCCTTTCTACTTTCACCTTACTTTTCTTGATTTACCTCCGCATTTTCTGGTGTTTTATGTTTTTACCCGTTACTTTCATTTTCTGGTGCTTTGTGTTTTACGTATCCTTTCCAGTTTTTGTTTTTTTAATTATTTTATTTTAAGTTTGGGAAATGTGCTTATTTTTTCTAAAGATGTAATAATTAACAAATATAATTTATGGATAAAAATGTAATAATTAAGTGCTCATCAGTTTGTAAAGACATTATAAATATCAAATGTTGTAACATATAATCACAAAGTTATCAACACCAAGATGGATAAGGAGCAAGGAGATGGGTGAAATTGGCTGGGGTTCGAAACCCATTGGGTGTGATGAAGGTTCATTTTCTCTAATTTTTTTCGCGGGTTGGCAGGTAGTAAACGGGTTGACACGACCCATGACACGACCCGTTTAATAAACGGGTTAAACAGGTATTTAAATGGGTTGACGGGTTGACCCGAAACCCACCCGTTTATAAATGGGTCAGTGGTGGGTTGACCCGAAAATTACCCATTTATTAATGGGTCGTGTTTGGGTCGTGTTTTTCCCGTGCGGGTTTCGAGTCGTGTAACGGGTCGAGTCGGAAATTGCCACCCCTAGCTTCAAGGCTCTTCAATTACCAAAGGTTTTCCTTTTCTTTTATTTTCTTAGAAAAAAAAAAGAAAAAAGAAAACCATTGGCAATTGCTGCGTTGACTCATTCATTTTGCAGAGAATATATATCTTTCCGATTATGCAAGAAATGAATCACAATGATAGAGAGAAAGGTGGTTCGCATTACCGTGGGAAGCACATGTTGAAACCTGGGAAATTATGCGCCTTAATTCGTGCTTCACACGGTCTCCTTATAAGTCCTAAAACCCAACCTTTTGCCAGCTAATAGCTAATAGGCCCCCCTTCTTGACCGAAAAAACAAAACGAGAAAAAAGAAGAAAAGAAAAAGCTACATGCTCTTGTGGAATGAATGTCTACCAATACCAGCTCATTAGACAACACATGGATACCCAATTGTCAATGTGGAAACAACTCCAAGTTGCAATATGATATAAACTATTTTTTTCATTGAGTAAATATTAAAATGCTTGTGAAAATTTTGGGATTGTATATGTCATATTTGGTTTTGGACATTAAAAGAGGCTATAGAAACTTTACGAAGTTTAAAAGAACGAGAAATTAGCAGATGTGAGTAAGATCAGATTGGGGCAGTGCGGACACATGAACTACGAACATCTTGCAAATGGTCTTAACTGCTTGAGCTACAAATATTTTGCAAATCCGCTTTATATTAGGATAGTTTAGAATATAACTTTCCCAAATTTAAAACAAACTAGAAATTAAAGCAACACTAGCACTAAAGTTCACAAATGTCTTTCATTAAATAAAATCTCTCATGATTTCCAAATCACACTTTAGATATGAAATTGTATTGTTAAAAGACAGACGTGTACCCTAAAGCTATGCAATACACGTTTTATTTTATTGAGCTTTTGCGAAATACCTTCACCTTAACAGGAGCATTCGTAGAAGAATCATCAAACTTTCAAGTAATATACCACTGGCTGCTTTCAAGTAGGGGAATAAATGGGTCAGCGACGTGTGAATAAAACTTATGGTTGTCACCATTGAAGAATAAATATAAGATAAAACTAAATTCATGACCAAGGGCCCTTATCTTCCCATATTTTTATATTTTGTACACTAGTTATGACATAATCAAATTACAAATTATGGAGGTGGGTGTTGTGTCAATTGCCATTGACTAATTTCGATTAAAATTAAGTTGCATTCGTATCATTTGACAGAAAAATTTAAAAGTAATTTTTACATTAAAAAAATTTAAACATGTTTCTAATAAAAAAAAACCCTTACATAAACAATATAGCTATCACTATTACAACTTAACTATTCAGGTATTACTATTTTTCTTATCAATGTTTTTGATGTTGGAATTGTAGTTTTAGTTCACGAAAAGTGCATAAAGTAAATAGGCTCACAATGAAGCATCCATTTGCATGGAAAAGGAAGAGCAGAGCAGTAACAACAATCAAACAACAAAAGTAATAAAAAAGTGTAGTTTCTGAGCAACCTCTTTCGCTAAATCATGTATGGTGTCTTCTAGTTCAAGCCTTATTGTACAAATAATATGGTCAGAAAAATGAAGCCCCGAAAAAAGCGTCCACCTCAAATCCCAATTATTTCGGTCGGTCAGCCATTTTTATTCTCTTCTTCTTGGCTCATAGTCCCATCCCAATTCAGCAAAAATACTTTTAACTAATAATCAAGACTGATTAGCATTAACTAATCACCGGTTCATCTCCCCCACCACCCTCTGCCCCTTACCCAATCAACACTACTTTCTTCTTCTTCACCACACACCAGCAGCCCCCTTTTATACTCTCTCTCTCTCTCTCTTCCTCAAATGGTCGGAGACGCCAGACCCATTTCTCAAAACCCCGAAAGTTTTCAACTTTCATAAAAACCCACTTGTCGGCAGCAGCAGCAGATCTATTCCAAACCCACCCCAATCCCCTACCCATTCTAATTATTCTCAGAAAAACTCCCACTTTTTTGGCAACAAATGTCAGGTATGGACTCATCAGAGCAACGCCGCAAGCGGAAGCGCATGCTTCGGTCCTACTCACAAGCAAAGCACTACTTGTCCCTGAGAAGGCCTCTCATTCTCTGCTTCTCCTTCTTCATCTTCCTCTTGCTCCTCTCCTCCGAACGCTTCCGTCCGGCGTCATTTCGGCCGGTCCTCACCGCCTCCACCACCACCCTCTCCCTCCTATCCTCCACCGCAAGCAATTCGATTCTCGAGTCTTTCACTAACAGAAACAGCAACAGCAACACCAGAGACTCGTCCCCTCTTCGAGTTCAAGATCGAATCTTGTTTCCCGATCACGTTCTTCTCATTGTGCCCAATAGGTTTCGCCAAAACGACCAATTGGAGTGCGTTTACCATAGATTATCCAACGGTTCAGATGAGCTTCAAGATGGAGAAAAGAATCCGCACCTGGATTTTGCTATTCGACCGGTTTTGTCCACCGACGTCTACGACGAGCTCCGTTCCATTGCCAGGTGTCCGCTGCCGTCGAATAATTACTCGGTGGCCGTCGATTTGCGGAGGCGTGGCGGCGGTTACGATTGGACGGCTGGGATTAACGGGACGGCTTATCCTTGGGACAGAGTAGTTTACGAGGCGGTTATTGATGGAGACACGGCGGTTGTGTTCGTTAAGGGGTTGAACCTCAGGCCCCACAAGAAATCGGATCCGACCCGACTCACTTGCCATTTCGGGTTGGCCAACAATGGCAATTGGGAAAAAGACCAGGGCTTTGTGCTCACCACTGAAGCTGTCACGGCGGCTCAGGAAGTTGTCCGGTGCTTGCTGCCCCGGACTATCCGAAACAACCCGGATAAGACCCATGGAGTTCGGGTCACGATTGGTTACAACACTGGCAGCGCCAGAGCTCCAGTTCATGTCACTCTGCCTTCTGTGGCCACAATTTACAGTTCTAAATCCACTGTGAGAAACGAAAAGCAGAAGAAAAAGCACGAGCTTTGTGCTTGCACCATGTTGTGGAACCAAGCACCAGCGCTAAAAGAGTGGGTTATGTACCACGCTTGGCTTGGAGTTGAGCGCTGGTTCATTTACGACAACAACAGTGACGACGGGATTGAAGATGTGGTTCGGGAACTTGAGTTGCAGGCCTACAATGTCAGCAGGCAGAGCTGGCCATGGATCAAAACCCAAGAAGCAGGCTTTTCGCGTTGTGCTTTGAGAGCAAGAGACGAGTGCCATTGGGTTGGCTTCTTTGATGTCGACGAGTTCTTCTACTTCCCTAGGGCGTTTCGGCACCACAGAGGAGACGGTGTTCCTGGTGAAAACTCGCTTCGAAACCTTGTTTCGAATTATTCGTATTCGCCGACGATTGGGGAGATCAGAACAGATTGCCATAGCTTTGGGCCATCTGGGCTGAGTTCACATCCATCGCAGGGTGTCACTGTTGGGTACACTTGCAGGCTGCAAAGCCCTGAGAGGCACAAGTCTATAGTAAGGGCAGATTTGCTTGATGTTACTCTGCTCAATGTGGTTCACCATTTTAGGCTGGGACAAGGTTTCAGGCACCTGAATGTGCCTGAAAATGTTGCTGTCATAAACCATTACAAATACCAGGTTTGGGAGACTTTTAAGGCCAAGTTTTTCAGAAGGGTAGCAACCTATGTTGTTGATTGGCAGGAGGATCAAAACCAGGGGTCAAAAGATAGGGCACCTGGGCTAGGAACTGAGGCCATTGAGCCACCCAATTGGCGGTTGAGGTTCTGCGAGGTTTGGGACACTGGCCTTAAAGACTATGTTTTGGGTTACTTTGCTGATCCTGCAACTGGGTCACTGCCATGGGAGAAGTCTCTTCTGTGACAAATACAAATTGCAGAGCTGGGTGCTTTCAGATTGGCGCCCATGTATAACACAGAGTAAATCACACACAGAACAGAAGCCATTCTTTTCATTGTAATTTTTTCCTTTTTTGTATCTGATTATTCTTTTTCTTTTTTTCATACACATGCAATGAATTAATTACAGAATTCTTCTTATACGGTGTAAATTTTGTGACAATATGAAATGAAAATTTTCCTTTTTTCCATATTGTTCCTTGCTTGTAGAATGAATACAAATTCATTTTCTTAATTAAAATAAATGAATTATGGATTCTTTTCTCCCTGTTTTCTGGGTGTTATTTTAGTCATCATGCTCTTGAAGTGATTTAACGAAATCAAATTGGAGGTAACATTAAGTACGTTCAGTGATAACCAAATGAACCGAAGTTCATTAAAGCGGGAAAAAAGAACGTTGGAAACTTGGAATGACCAAATGATTTTAGGGACGGTAATTAATGGTAAAGAGATTATTCAATAATTTACATCACAAATAACACATTGATTAGGAAGACAGGCTTTGCAGCGAACATGATCGATGCAACGCATGCGAATTTGTTCTTTACGTCTAATCTATTTCTATTGAAGCTAGGTGGTAAAACCGCAATCAAAGCACAACTTGGCTAATTCAACATTCTTCTTACTAGAGAAATTGAACAAAATTACGTGCATTTACAATCAAAATGTGGTGCTCGAGTATTCTAAGAATTAGAATATCTGAATACCAATGCTTCCCTTAGTATGGAATTCCCAGTAAGCAGCTCTGAAGAATCCGTTTTATGCGCAAGATCCATGATATTTAACTGACTGAGAGTACAAGAAACATATTATGTGCATACATTATATATCTAAACACAACAGTGCTATCAATCGGGTATTGCAGCAGAATTTCCTGGCACCAGAATAAGATCGCAATAATTGCCATTCTTCGTTCTCTGTTATGATAAATCTGTTGCTTGAGAATCCTGAGAATGAAAATAAACAAATAAACACCTTATAAATTAGATAGAAGAGAGATATTTTATATATATTCTCTATGCTCAAATTGAAAACTTGACTGCAAATATGTCACATAAACCTTTTTTCCCATGCAAGTGTAACAATTTGAAATGATTTTACGCTGTGTGATGCAGTCAGTACAAATCAGAAATGAGAAAGTACCTGGCTTAAGGCTACAGCCATTGCATAAAGGGATAATATCAACAAGCTTCATAGTTTAATTACTTGAAAACTGGATCTTGCACAGCTAATGGGGGGTTATCCACATATTTTGCTAGAGTAGAATCCAGCTTCTCTCCAATTAATGAAATCCATGCCTGTAAACATTTCAATTTTTAGTGCAACTACATGAAAAATAGATAAGTGCATATAACAATAAATAAACAGACGGTGCTTAATTAATTGACTATGTCAACGAGTTTGATCAACCAGCCACAAGTTAAATACTTTCATTTTGAAGAACATAGGTTTACTGATATATACACCATAAAAAACACACAACAAGAAAAAAATATGAAGGGATATGATCCTTGTATACAACAGCCCTTTGTCTAACTGTGTCAAACCAATTGATTGAAACTCACACACAATTGCACTCTCTTAATGTATAGATGACAGTTATAAGTATTTTTTTTTTTCAGAGTTCAATATTTTCAAAGTCAAAAAGGACACACACCTGATCGGCGGATGTGAATCCTCTAACCGTGTCACCACCAATTATTGTGATCCCTTTGTCTCCAAGTGGCTGCAATATTACTGCCTGGCAAAGTTGGGAATCATGTTATCAATCGTTAAAAGCAGATATACAAGGTGAGTTCTAATGCACATAATTGAAGAAACTAAGAAAGATGTATCTTTCAGCTGGCTGTGCACATCAGTTACTGTTCAGGTGTGTGTATTCTTGATGAACGAATCACTGGATGAACAAACATATTTACTTGAACAGATACACATGATTGAAAAAAAAAAATTTGAAAATCTAAGAAGAAAACTGAACCTGTGTATTTGAAGGCAGAAATGGCAGCTCAGACTTCCCAGGATAAAGATATAGGTTTGCCAAATAGCTCTCTGAAAAAGCAGGTGGTCTCAAGATTATCAAACATTTGGTGGAAGTCTAGTTCAGATAAGACATGGTAAAATAGTTGAAAAACTTCAACAGATGATATGCAGAGTCCTTGGCAAGTACTTACGAACTCCTGATTTCATAACACCTCGATAGAGTGATCCTTGCATCAGTTTATCAGCATCCACAGACACAGCCTTGCCATCACCATTAGAAGATTCTGCTGCAAAACCAATCTGAAGGATACATTTGCCATCATAAACTATAACAAGAGACCGGCAGCACGTCACATCCAACAGAGATTGCCATGCCCTGAGAACAAGCAATGAAAAGCAACAATTAACCAGCCATGCTCACATATTAAACAAAGTAGTGATTTCTTAATCTTCTAATCCCTACAAACTAGGTATGATTGCATTGCAAAACAGAATGTAATGCTACAGAATGAAAATACAGGAATTTCGTGCCACTACGAAAAAGGTACACATTGCTTAGAAATCACAATTTGATCAAACATTGATACATAACATGTGTAATGTGTTACCACAATAACTCAGAAAGCAGAGTGTTTGGGAGATTAGAATGCATTCTCTCGCATTTGATCCCTTCGGGATTCACCTGAATCAAATAATAAAATACATAAGCAATTAAGTCATTAAAAAAAAAAACAATGAGCTCAATTTCTCACCTTAGATATAGATTTTGGTCTGATTGACAGCCATACCAGACCAGCTAGTATGTTGGTCACAGCCAATCCCAACGTCAACAAATCAGCTCTAGACTGTGAACTACAAGTTAAACATAATTTCATACAAATAATTAGGCTCACAAATCACAAATTCACAATGCCTAATTACCAACTGAAACAGTAATTTTCGAAATGCTGAAAATGATACTAAAACTCAGAAATTAAGCGGAGAGAATTGCGTTGCGTGGTTACCTGCTGGCGTCGGCGACCAGAGCGATGTCCGAAACGGTGCGGTTGAAGAGGACGGCCAAGAGGGAGGCGCCTCCCGCGTAAATCGGCAAGCTCCGAACGGCGTCGTCGTTGTTGGAGACCCAATCGGCCACCCAATTTCTCTGTGGCTTGGGGCCTCTGTAACGACTATCTGAATTCAAAGCCCTAATGGGGCGCGGGAAAGTGGGGCCAAGACGACGTCGGAGAGGGCTTTTTGGGGTCCATGGAATTGGACTACGGAGAAGGCTTCCCGCTTCCATCGAATACTGTAGAATAGGTGACAGGGCCGTTGATATTTTTGATCACTTGCTTGGGATTGGATACGGTCAGTCGTTTCGTTCAATTTGTTGCTTTTTGCATCCAACGGCTCAAGACAAGCCTGATGTTGAAGGCAATGCATTGGGAGAAGTTTTGGACTTGCCGACTTGGTTTCAAACGTCACCTCGTATGGTTTCAAGAAACAGGCTCTAAGCCTTCTCACTAAATCTTTTGGGCTGAGGCCCATAATTCAATCCTTAGGCCCGTTGGCCCATTGGTTGTTTGCATTTTTACCGGACTAAGCGACAAAAATATTTCTTACAGGGTTAATGACCTAAATGGTCCCCCAACTATTGCTCAAGTATTATTTTGGTCCATCAACTAAAATTTGCATTTGAAACGTCCTTAAACTTTTTATTTTTTACCAAGATGGTCTATCCGTCAAAGTCTGTGTATTATTATGTGAAATCGAGGGATAAAACCGTATTTTTAGGTGAGTATTCTCCTATAAAACGACCAAGCCAACTTAGGAATGCATTCCCTCCCATTTATGTTAGAAGCTTCACCAAAACCCCCAAATTAGAACCCTAGGTTTGCAATGTCGGAGATTTCAATGTCAGAGATTTCAACGACCTCAAGTGGGACGAGTCAGTACTGCGCTTGTGGGACGAAGATAATTCGTTGGACTTCATGAATATATTTGAACCCAAGAAGAAGGTTCGATGCTTGTGATAAAAATTGAGTAAGTTATTATTTGGGCTGCAAAAGTTGTTCTTTTCCATTTGTAATTGCTTGATGAGGTCTGAAATTGGGTAAGATTTGATTTGCCAGAATAGCAGAAGAGGTATGCATTTTTTCGAGTGGGTGGATAATGAAACTTGTCCAAGAGGAAAACAAGTGGTCCCTGGTTTGCTTAGAAGACTTAGAGCAATGGAGGAGGAAGGTAGAGTAAAGGAAGAACAATTTAGATCTGTGGAAGCAAAAAAGAGAGAACTGCAGCAGAAATTGAAAGAAATGGTTTAGGAAAAAAAGGTTTTGGAATGGAATCATGGGCAAAGACAATTGATAATGTGGGTTTCCTTGATTTTGTCTTGGGGTTTGTTTATAACATTTGTGATGAGTGGGAAGTTTTAATTGTTATGGGGTTTGTTTCTTTGAATGTAATGGTGAAGACTTCTGTTTCAATTGTAGAATGAATGTGCATTAGTGTTCTCAAATTTTCTTGAATTGGGGTTATTTGAATATCTGGGAGATGCACATAACTTAATATTCCACTTAGTAGAACAAATTAAAAGCCATTCCATTCTTGACCACACAGGCAATTTACAAAATGAACATCCATAAAAACATTCCAATTCCAATTACAGAGTTTGAGCCCTTCAAACTCAAGACCAGTTAGACGAAGGACACAAAATGCACATGCCTAGAAAAGTACATAACCCAAAATAGACAACCAATTACACAGTTTGAGCCGTTCTAGCTCAAAACCAATTAGACAAAGTACACAAAATTCTCATACTCAGAAAAGTACCTAACCCAAAATAGGCAAACAATTACATAGTTTTAGCCCTTCAAACTCAAAACCAATTACACAATCCAATGTCAGAATCAGTCCCTTTTGTCACAAAATCCCTATGGCCAGAAAATTACATATCCCAAAATACACAACATATGACACCCTTGGCAATAATTTCCCTTATTTTGAGGCCATGTTATTATCATGGGAAATGTTGTCCAAATCTGGTCCTCATTGTCCCCTTCCTCTTGCCACCTAAACAATGTAGTAATGTTAGGTGTATAATAGTTGAAAAATTGATAATTAGTGAAATGAGTAAGAATTGAACCAAATGACAAAAACCTACAGTTGGCCGTGAAGATGGTAAGCCTCTTCCTCCACTTCTGCCTCTTCCTGTCATTGCACTTAACTTTGAAGATGGTAAACCTCTTCCTAAGCCAATACGTGAAGATGGTAAGACTCCTTGTCCATTACCTCTTGTCACCTGAAAAAGTTACTGATCTTTATTGTTTTCCAATGACATAAGTAATAACAAATTGAATGGTTGAGAAAATAAAGCTTACACTTTCTTATGAATTTGGGTAAACAGGGGCTTGGGCAACATTGCCTCTTCCTCTACCTATGCCTCTACCTCCTTCTCAATTACCTCTTGCCATCTAAAAAAAATTAATGATTTCAGTTGCCTAATGACTTTTGCAATTTAAAACCACAAGAGCAACCAAAGCTTACACTTTGTTGTGAATTTGGGTAAGCAATAGCTTGAGCAACATTTCCTATTCCTTCACTTACGCCTCTCCCTCTACTTATGCCTCTCCCTCTGCTTATGCCTATCCCTCTTACTGTGCTAGATCCTGGTTGTGAAGAAGGTTGTATTGGTTGTGAAGAAGAACCTTGCTCCATTTGGGCTGAAGATGCATTAACCTGCAAATGTATAACAAAATTATTAATGTAAGTACGCCATAACATAGAACTAAACAAGGTGTCTAACAGTCATACCTGTTGGGTTTCATTGTTTTGTCTGTCACATGTTGCTTTATTATGACATTTTTGACCGCATTCACGACATCTTATTTGAATGAAAACCCTTCTAAGCTTGGCTGGTGGGGCAATATAATTTGGAGGCCTAGGGTTTTTGTGGGATGGTGGCTGGTATTTCAACCTCACCAGGCTTCTTCGTCCTAACTCTTTTCGGCCTACCCAGTTGTTGCTTATAAAGTGGAGGTTTAATTGGAGGAAGGCCACATTTACTCCATTGGTCCATTGAAGGGATGGGATGAATCACTAGTTCATAAGCCTTCATATAAGTCTCGAGCTTATAACAATAATCCAAATAAGCAATTGGGTTTTCACATCTTTGAAATATTGCTGAGATTGCATGGGACATGGTACAGGTGTCTCACACACATCATGTGCTCTGCAGTTGGAAGTACTGTCTCAATGGCAGGTATAAGTCCCTTTTGTTTGTCACTAATCACTACCCAAGCTTTTCTATTTGTAATCCCTAAATCTTCAATAAGAAGATTGAAAAACCAAATCTAAGAGTCTTTACTCTCAATATCAACCACTGCATAAGCTACTGGGAAATAACCATTGTTCCCATCCACCCCAACAACTGTCAAGATCTCTCCAGGATAAGGCCCTTTCAAATGACAGCCATCAACACCAATAACAGGTCTGCAACCTTCTAAAAATCCCTTCTTACAGGCAGCCAAGCACACATATATCCTTTGAAACACTGTCTCAACCTTTACAATATGAGTTTTAATCTTCATTGTACTACCCCTGTTTGCATTTTTCAATTGTTCTGCATAATCCCACAACCTAGCATATTGTTTTTTGAAAGTACCTTCATTTAAATCTCTAGCTAGCCCCTTTGCCCTATAAACTTGAATTTTTTTGACATTTATTTTGTAATCTTCCAACACATCTTCTTGAAATGATTTCAGATCAAACTCTGAGTTGCGTTTCAGCATGTTTGCATATCTGTCACAAAGCCAGTTTGATGTGGTATACCTAAGCTTGTCCACTCTTCCACACTGATGTTCTAGGCTCAAAGTTTTTATTCCAAATGTCCATTCCTCTGTATTAATCTTTGATCCATATACTTGGAAAGGACACCCTTTCACACATTTAGCCTGAACTCGTCTCTTGTCGTTTTTTTTTATCAATTTCACTTCCCTACCATGTATAATTGCATGCTCCTTGATAGCCTCTATCATTAATTTTTTGCTAGCAAACTTCATTCCCAATCTAAACTTAGGATTTTTCAAATCCACATCTCTTCTATACTACTTAAACTTTGGCAGTTTTTTCTTTTTTCTACTGTTACCCTCATCTTCAGTCTCACTTCCAGTGTCAAATTTTGATGTGTTAGCACCATCTGATGACACCTCTCTTGGAGCCCCATGAGTAGTCCCCTCATCTGCTACATTCTCTCCAACAGTTGGCCTGGCCTCTGCCTCATTTTCACTGAACTCATAATCACTGTCTTTAATTTCTGAATCTGCATCTTCATCTTCATTTGGCAATTATGCCTCTTCATTATCTATTGTCACATGTGCCCCTACATCTTCATTTAGTAATTCTGCCCATGCATCTTCATTTGGTACCTCCTTGACCGCATCTTCATTTGCCACTTTTGTCCCAACATTCTCAAAAGTCTCCTCACCTTCAACTTCAATATAAGCCACCTCTTTCACTTGGTAATTCTGAGTCACATCCCCATCACAATTCTATGCATCTACATCATACTCATAGTCTTGAATCTCACTATAGTATAACACAATAACCTTATTAGACAGTACGTGACCAAGCATTTCAACCACTGTAGCATCTGATCTAACAAGCTTCAGTCCACCCTCAACATTTTTACACCTAATTTCCAAATGTTCCACAACTTGAGAAATGTCAACATCATACCCAAGACCTCTCCCAATTTTCAGTAAATCCAATAAGGACAGAAAATCCTCTATAATATTGTCCAAATAACAGACCTTAACCTTTTTTATAAACCCCATTTTCAAACCAGCCCCAATGATGTAATTCTAGAGTGCACATTCCATTGGTAACTGCAAAATTGAAACAACAATATGTTATTCTAAAGTCATAGTTTTGTTGTTAATGCTAACGACAACAATTACTAAGTTGGGTGTGAAGCAGACAACCAAGGGACCACAAACGTTTAAAAAAACCTCACATTCAACATACAAGAACCACAACCAAGGGATCACAGACATAAAGCTTACACTATGCAGTCAATGTAGCAAAAGGAAAATCCACATACAAGAAAACGACTCCTTTATCCTTACTTTAAACATAAAACAACCAAAAAGCCGAACACAAACACAGGAAAAGGAATCTTTTACACATAAAGAAACCACAGTTCCAGACAAGGACAACTCATCCATTTCATTCATTTCCAAACAAAAACAACATAAAATGCATTATAGAAGCCCTTATCGTATTTGGGAGTCTTTCCACCCGAACGGAATTCAAACTCCATTATCAGCAACCAGTGAATTTCCCAACCAAAATCAAACCCTAACCCAAACTCCCAAAATCGAACTCCAAAACTAACACTGAAATTACACACTAACTTCACCAATTCAGCGACTCACACACTACTACAACATCGACCAATTCAACAACTCGCATTAGAATCCCTTTCAGTCGATGGTAATCGCAGGAAATGAGAGAAACACGAACCAAAGTGGAGGTATTTTGGTTTTGAACGATAGAGCTTCTCAAAAAGTCGCATATACCCTTCAAAACTCAGTCACGTGGCCATCGCGTGATCAGAAGTGACGGAATCTGTCACAGATGGACCATCTTGGTACAAAATAAAAAGTTTAAGGACGTTTCAAATGAAAATTTTAGTTGGTGGACCAAAATGATACTGGAGCAATAGTTAGGGGACCATTTAGGTCATTAACCCGAATAAGAAAGGTTAAACAACCAACTAGCACATAGCCTAGTGTTATTTTTTATAAATGTTTGAAGAGGTTTCAAGTTGAGTACTCATAAGATGAAAATGAAATGAAGTACATTAGCATCAAAAAAGTTAAAAGATGAGTGGATCTGAACGCGCCTCACGCACCCCTCCTTTCTCTTTGCTTGTGCGACCTTCCTCCCCGAATCTAGTAGTTCCTACTACGCCTGGATCTCCAGATTTCACATTTTCTACCCGTTGCCCTTTAGTGATTCTGATTACCTTGAAGGATGGACCTTCCAAATGCCATCGTCTTGAAAATTTTGTTTCATCTGAAGCTGATGATAATGCCATAGACCAATTTGCGCCGATTTCTCATATGCTCGTGTTCAACTTCATGACAGGATCCACCCCGAATTCCTCGGAACCCGAGACGAATCGTGTGGAAATTTCGACATCACACCGATGCCGGGCCTACTTATTAAGAATCGAGACCTTCTGCCGAAATTTCGGCAAAGTCTCCCCTGCAAATTTAACTTTTTCCAAAATTTTCAACCTGTTAAAAACACATTTTAAAACACCAACTGGCAGCATGCACAAGTTAACAACATGCAATTGCTTAATAGGCCTTCGGCCTTCAAATAATCCTTAGCAAAACCACTAGAAATGTTCTTAAGTCACAAAATGAAATTAAACGATGCAATTAAATGAACTCCAACTAATTTATGCATGCCCACCGCAATTAACATAAAATAACTTCCCAAATTTCCATCATGTGATGTTTAACAACCAATCACAATCGCAAGTAGATTAAGGATTTGGTCCAAGACGTTTAACAATCCAAAACGGTTCCATACCTATCTTGACCACAACCACCTACACTATTTAATAAAATTCATTCAAGTGATAACTGAGGAACAAACAAGCATTTAATCTCGCTCAAGTTTAAATCATGCGTTAGGCATACCAGGATATTCAAAACCGAACACATCAATAGTATATTTCACGGCTGGACCTAGGTGAGACCCTATGCTACCTACGTACCCTTGGGTGAGGGATCAAGCCACACGTAGTTCTTACCTCAACAGTCACAACTCCGATAATATACAATTATTTAAAACAGAACCAACGATACATTTCACATTTATCACAACTCTAATTCCGACAAAAACACAATGAACACATTCTCAATCTCTTCCTTTATATCAGTTCAACCCCGCAACCATACCCTATCCAATGCGTATGTACATTGAACACATTATCAATTTCTTCCCTTTATGTCAGTTTGATCCCGCAACCATACCCTATCCAAGGCGTATGTTGCCGTACAACACTTTCCAATCCATGACTTAAACATTCATACAAAAACAGGGTACTTACGAAGCACAATCTCACGAATCTCAAACTAGAAACGAATCCACATATACATATATGTAATATGTATGCCTATAAATGGAAAAATATATATAAATATATATAGATCTATAACTGCCCCCACCTCTCACCATCATCATGTACCAGGGGAAAACAATCCAACTGGGGATCGTTTGACTAGCCCACATGAAACCGTCCTCAAATGACCATGTGGCTAGGGACAAGCCGTCCAACTGGGGGACTAACTCTCAGCCAGCACGTACCGACGAAAAATCAAGACCCGTACGCCTGAAATCAGCCTTATGTGCGTAGACTACCCAATTAAGGGTCTACAGCGACACCCCGTTAAGGTATGCCCCAGGTTCCGTCATATCCAAACCATATCCACCATTTCCAGGTATCCCAGTATTCATATCCACTGTTTCCAAGTACCCATTTCCACTGTTTCCAAGTGTCATCATCCAAGGGGAGGTACATATGATGGTGGAGTTCGTAATCCCTTATATAAATATTATAAAAACAATATCCCCTTCCTTAATTAAATTTTCCCATAATACCTATTCGTTGTAGACAAATAAACTCTCAAGCATAATCTATATAGGGAGGTACCCAAGGTAGTGCTAATAGCACTCGAACTGACATTCTAATCTTACATCTTTCCTCATCTCACAACAACATCCCAAGTACCCCGCACATAATCAACCAAGACAGCACTTCCTTAAGTATTTTATATATATATATATATATATATATATATATATATATCTCAAGATACTCGAATATGTCAAAACCATCATATATCACAAATACTTTACAAAAATAATAAATTCAACTATTAAATATAAGGTGCATTTCAATAAACCATTAAATTCATATGCATAAAATTTCCATTGCAAAACCATGCCATTTATTTGACGACAATGTCTACTCACTTCCTAAAAATCATAGTCGAGTTTCATGACTTACTTTCACAACCAATAATTCAAGTATCCCAACACTCATCTATTCCGTAAATTTCAATGATCAAAATAGCATCTAAGAATTCAATAAGATATTATAAACAAGCTCATACTCCCAATATAATAAAAAATAACTCAAATAACGGTTAAGATTCATTCACACGGTCGTGCTAGCACTTCATGAAGGGTGAAACTACCTCGGAAGGCTCACGGTCAATTGAGGGTCAAAACTATGCGAACTTGGTCAACCAGGCCCACAGGGCCCACAACCTCCGTTTTACGATCCGGAAGTTCCTAGGAGTTCCACAAGGTCTAAGATACACGTCTTGAAAGTTTGGTCCAGATCAGATGGTTGGATCGCTCACAGTCGAACGATCGGACGGTTATCGAAAAGCACAAACTTTAAGTTATTGAATCGGAACATCTGGGGCTTCGATTCACGATCCGTGAAATCCTACACAATCCTAGGAATGCCTAGATCAACATATATTAAATTGGAAGCGATCCAATGGTTCTAACGTATCGAACTCGGAAATCGCATAATATGTAAAATCCGTTCGGGGTTCAAACGTTATCCAAATTGAGATCCGGAAATTCCTATGCACTCGTGGCAACTAGGAGATCACTTTAGGACAGAAGGTGGTTCCACCACACTGCCAATGCGCCGCCACACGCGCTGGCAACGCGTGGGAGGCTTGATAAATTTATGGCGGCCGGAAAACTCCAAACTGCTGGTCAAGCTTCCTACCCTAGGTAATACACCTATTTTGGAACCACTTTTGTTCTTGGACCCATCCCAAAAAGTGGCAGGAAGTGGCTGAAATCGGAGGACAAAACTGGCAGATTTTTCAATCACTTAAACGACTACCAACACACAGAAATTTCTCAAAACTAACACAACCAACAAGAAGAACAGCTCGAGAGGTTCAAGATCCATACTTGGATCGCAAGATTTGGT